GGAGTCAAACCCAGGTCTCCCACAGGGAAGGTGAGAATTCTACCACTGGACCACCAGTGCCCACATTCCCTGCTAGAAGTCTCTCTCCTTTTACAGCCAGCCCAATTCCTATCAGCTCCCAGGTTTTCCTTATTTGTGGAATAATTTGAGTGGTTTCAGTATTTTCTCTGTGATTTTCAACAGACACCTTAAATACTGCTTTTGGCACCAAAAAGAACACATCACTTGAGGTCATGGGCAGGTCAAAGTCCAGATGGCTTAGAAAAACCCCAAGAGCACATATGAGAGGCATCTGGCCACAATCTAGTCTGACCTTGTGAAGTATTTTGAAAAGGGAACTGAGCTCAGATAAGATCATCGAAGGCTTTGAGTTACTCTTATCTTTCTGTGACAGATTATAGATTTGAAAGCACGAATGCAAACTGCAATGTGATCTACCTGTTTCATTGAAGCTGGGACTTTTGCACATGCTCAAATGAAAGGTGGTCTTGGGAGTCAACAGAATTGAGTTGCTATCGTCTCTCTTACTTACTGTGTGATCTGCCACTTACTCACTGTGTGACCTTGGGCAAGTTACCCTAACCTCACCAAGTCTCAGCTTATCATCTGTAAACTAGATATATCATCTGCCTCAAAGGTGGTTGTGACAGAGCATATGGAAAGAATACACAGTGAAAACTCAAGAAATGGTAGCACCTATTATTTTCTGAGTCTTTGGGTGGTGCAAATGGTTAATGTGCTCAGCTACAAACAGAAAGGTTGGAGGTTCGATTCTACCTGGAGGTGTCTTGAAAGAAAGGCCCTGGAGACCCACTTCTGAAAAATAAGTCACTGAGAACCCAATGGAGCACAGTTCTACTCTGACACATACGGTTGCTGTGAATTGGGTTGACTTGATGGCAACTGGTTGGTTATTATTTTCCAGATTGTGAGGCCCGTGAGGGCAGGGACAATATTTGTTGTTTCACCCTTATATCCCCTGCATCTAGCATTGCCATTGACATGCATTTTGAATGACTAAAAGACGAGGTCTCAAATGAACAGAAGAGAAAATAAAGTCAACTGGATATAGACTGTATGAAAGGTCCAACTCTCGAACAGGATGAGATGGCATTGTCTGAAGGAGAATCTCTTGTCTCTTGGAAGAAACCCTCAGTAGGGATGAAAGAGACCAGCAATGGAACTGTCCCTGTTGGACTGGCAGACTTAGGTCTCTTCCGACTCACAGACTGGGACTCCATCCGAGGACATTATTAAATGAGACAAAAAGCCTCAAAAATACACATAGGGCTCTAAAGATTTCTGATACAGAGTAACCAAAATAGGCCACATAATGATAATCACAAGTATATCTTGAGACCTCTTTGCCTAAAACCTCAATGTATAGTCAGACCTATTTTCAAATGAGGGGAAAGAATCCATTCCTCTTAGCCTGCCAACTTCTACCACTAATGGAATGAGTTAATCCTGATGATTTGAATGGTGAATTCTTTACGGTGTTTGGATGAAAATAGAAGATGGGATGACAAAGACAGCAAAAATAGCTAGCAAGCACTGAGCATGTATGGTGTGGTGGTGGTATTCTAGGCGTTGTACATGCACAAGTATGTATAATCCCTACAACAGCCTGGGAGGGAGATATATTGTTCTCCTCTCGTTTTGCAGATGAGGAAACTGAGGCACAGAGCAGTTAAGTAACCAGCCCAGAGACTACTTGCATGGCACCTCTTAGAATAGCATTCTTTCATCTGCCTTTTGCAAGGAAGGCCCCTTTTTTAAGTAAAAAATTAGGACTTGATGATTTTCTATCAAACATTTTTAAATTTCTAGACTATTTATGGATGGTTTTGTTTGAAGATCAGCCAACTTTATGCTCCCTGTCATTTTATTTGGGGATAAGGAAATGGCTTCTTATCTACAGTTCTACAGGTCTATGTCCCTCTAACAACAGCAGAGTAAGCAGGTCATTGACTGGTACTTTGAAAACCTGCTCAGTAGGAAGGCGACAGGACCAAATCATTTTTTAGACTATGAAGACATTAACCACTTGACTCAGATTTCAACAAAATAACTTTGAATGAAAAGGTGTCCTGGTACCACCACTGACTGCTCTGACCAGGATCACAACAGAGGGTTCTGGACAGAGCTGGAGAAGGATGTAGAACAAAACTCTAACTCACAAAAAA